AGGTGCGTTCCTCTAAGTCTTCCTACCAATATGACCAAGTTGCAAAAACAAGGTCAAAAAACTTCTATACCACGAAAGGAGACTGCGACCACACAAAAGGCCACACCATCTTGGGTTTTATGTTGGCCCATCTGCTCTTCTACATTTACTATATATTTAGCTACCTTCTTTCTCTAGACCATTAAACCTTTTTAGTCAGTCCTATGTTCGAATAACCTATTATATATCAGTCGACAAGGCTTCCACACAGCGCAAAGCCTAATGACAACCTCTTCTACAGAATAGGGTCCCATGATTCTTTCAATGATTTTATTTTTATTTCTTTTATTTTTATATAAATATTTTTGACGTTTTATTTCGAAAGCTGGCAGGACAGTGGTATTAGAAACCTGAATAAAAAGTATTTCAATTTCCGGTTTTTTTTCATTCAACTCCTTAATATCATGGACTAATTGTCAATCAATTCTAGGGGATAATTGCTTTAAATAAATTTTTTTTTACATTCTCTAACTATTGATCCTGATGATTTACATCTGATATATGCACATTTTTTACTATAATCAATCCCATAACCACATGTTTACGCCACAAGTATGATTTGTGAAGCGATTAAAAAGGCGACCCACAAATTTGGATATTCTATACATATCCCTACTAAATTTGTTCCCTTCTTTACTGACTAGGAAATCTAGAAAGAGTAATTTACCTTCCTTCACTGACTCTACGTTGAATTCAGTCATGACTTTTTAATAATTCCTCCAGCCTATCTTTACTGTATTGCTAGAAACCAACGCAATATTCTATATAGGTAATGAATATTATAAGGGATAAGAGTGCTTCCTGAATTAGCTTGATGTCTGAGTAGGCAATCTAATTATTCACTTAAATTCGAGATAATCATCATCTCATAATTATACTTCGTGTTTACTTTTACAATTTACGATTAAAAACAAAATATATACTGATTCTGGTTTGACCTAGTTTTCGTAACTTGGTCGGAGGGACGGGTGCATGGAAATGCACCAAGTCAACGGTCCCATGCTTGGACTCATCTTGCATACTATGACAGAGGACGTAGGACTAGATATTTTCCACAAAGTCTTCCTGTTGCGCCTACCAAGTTGCGAGAACGAGGTCAAAACAACACCATATAGCTAAAGGAGACTGCGACTAAACCTACGATTGCACCATCTTGGTCTTTATATCTAAATTGTGCACCATTAATTTCTTTTTTCGTCACTCCTATGATTGACTCTACTTAAAGTTTCTATTTATATTCTTCAGGCATTAGCATAATGTTACAACTAAAGCCTGTAGTGCCCTACTTATCGAATTATTATTATACTTCGAAACTACGTAAAAGCTCACCAGCAAATATCCCTTTCTATAAATTGCTTA